ACCAACAAGAAAAGGCAAATTTATTGATTCGAAATCAAAAATAATACGTAAAGTGTTCGCTTCTTGTTATTGTACATTAAAGTGAAATAAATAATTCCAAATGACCATCGACGAAAAAGAATGCGTTGAGGTGATAATCAAAAATGACCCCATACTTAAAGGCATTGAATTAAAAAACATCGGCTTTCTTGAGCCACAACCAGTGATCGTCAACTGTCCCGCCTGTGAAGCTGAAGCGCTAAGCATTGTGCATCTGGAAGCGGTTACATGTCTGCAACGATTTCTAAATGCTACAAAGTTGTGGTAAGCAAAGGCGCGAGAAATTTCGATAATGGAAATGAATTAAGTACAAAAAGAGCTAAGTGAAATGTGTTGCCAGATAAAGTATTTAAAAAAAACTTATACATACATATCGCTAATTTTCTGCAAGACATCCAAATCCAATTTTTTTTAGTTAAGTATGCAGAAAGGGCCACAACCTCTACTTTTGTGTTGTGTAAAAATTTCATAGCTGTATCGAATAGCTCCGTGGAAAAAAATGTGTCTTAATTTTACCTTTTTTTTGATGTTTTGAGTTTTTGATTTTTTGGACTACGACACTATTGCAGAGAAGAAACGATATACATATATGTACGAATAACTATTTATTAGCCTACGAAGGTACCCTGACGGGAAAAAATAGCTCAGTTTCAAAAATTGGCATATAGACCCATTTCTGCGTTAATCACGTACATTTCTGTATTTTTTGGGGGAAACTAAACAGTTTAAGCGTGACACTATTTATACTTATAATAAAATTGTAACATATGAAAACAAAAGTGGAACCAGAAATCTATACATGCATATAATAAAATTGTAACAGGCCGATGTCTGCACATTGTTGATATTAAAGAAAAATAAATAGGGGAGGTCGTTATTAGAGCAACAGAAGCCAAATAAACAATTTTTAAAATTTCTGTCTGTCTGTGTACGCGCGTCACACGAAAACGAATGCATGGAATTGAATGCAGTTTTCTTTCACCCATCTATTGCCAGGGGTCTAACTTAGAATATAGAAAAAAAATAGACAGCTGCCACCTGTTAGAAAATTGCAGTTTAAGTAAATTTATAAGATAAAGTAAATATTGCAATATGGCAGTAAAAATAAATAGGTTTAAGAGGCTTACAGCCGAAAATATTTTTGTTGAGGATTGAAACCTGTTAAATTTTAATTTGATTTAATTGATAAGAAAAATTGAGCATTGCAATATGGGTATCAAACTGGAGTGTTTTAAGAAAGTTTACTGCCGAAAATATTTTCAAGGAAGGTTGCCACCTGTTTGAAAAATTGTATTCTATTAAATTGATAAAATATTTGAAATATTACAATACGGGTATTAAACAGCACAAAAATACTTTTACGCGGGGAATTTGCTAGTGTTAAAAAAAAAATCGTTTATTGTATCCTAGTGAAAAAATTAGCACTCTTTCATACACACCTAAACTGGCTCCACAGCAGATACACGGTTAACGCAGAAACGGGATGATATGTG